GACAGACGGCGTGACCGGCACAGGAGACATCTCCCATTATCCCTGGCAGGCAGGCTGGGGAATTTTCTGGGAAGATTCAAAGGTTGGACATGAGCTCCTTGATCTGCAGGAGTCATTAGCGGTCAAAGAATAATGCTGGCGACTCCCAGACACACAAAACCCCAACCACTTTGGCGCTGGAATCCACGACCACAGTAGATTTTTAGAAAGTGTCAGATTAAATTCATTTCCTAGTTCCAATGAAGATATAAAACTGAGTGTCATAAAGTGAGTTGTCAGTAAAAATGAGATGGGAAACTGGAGGTAGTAAGAAGGCCCCCCCCAGACTGGATGAATTAGCCCTCTAAAGTAACAGAGGGAAAACGGTGAGCGTTCAGGAAAGCAGCAAAACACAAAATGCAGTGGGCCAAACTCCGTCCTCAGAGAAGGCAGGCAAAACACCAAGTTTCTAGGCTGGAGTCTGGCCCGAAGCGACTCGGCTGGATTTAAGCAGCGTGCAGTGGATTCCACGGCCGTGTAACTGCCTTACCGCCACGCTAACCCTCCGGGTCACGGCTCGCCAAGTTTCGCCCGACGTGGCGCTCTCGCAGGGGTGTGTGTGTGTCGGCGGGGGGCGGGTGTGTGTCAGAATCTGGGAGGAAGGAACGACCCGTACGACACCCCTCCTCCACACCGAAGGCCAGCGCGGCTGTTAAGTTTCCTTCGGTGCTTTGCTTTTCCGTGTCACGTCTGTCTCGTGATTCCCGCATTGCCCGAGATCTTCGGTGACGAGGATCTACGTGAGAAGGCGAGGAGGAAAACCAGTTTTCGGCTGCGGGTGACGCCCACGCCACTCCTCCACCCCTGCACCACACGCTGATCGTCAGAGAGCTTCATGCCAGTTCCTTCGCGAGGCTTCCAGCTCTCTGAGTCACAGACCCTGGTCGCAGGTAAGAGGAAGAAGAGGCAGGTGTTCCGACATCCCTTGTGTACAGGGGTCGAAAAGGGGAGAATAAAGACCGGTGCAGTGATCTGATGAAGGTGGAGTTTGCAGCTGCAACTAATTCTGAGAATGTGGATTAACAAGGCCACGGTGACAAATCCGCAGGACGAGGATTTGTGACAAATCCGCAGGAGCTCACCAAAAGGTGTCCTTTTTGTGGACGGCAAACCTGCTCCTCTGCAGTGCCTGTGCCTCTTAAAATAAATGACAGAAAAGGAGTTTGCGGACGTCGACAATTCAGATGACGCGCTGCCCCACGGGTACATTTGGGAAGCTTTTATTAATTTCGGGCACCCATTCTCACGGACTTACTGCAGCCCTGTGTTGTGACAACGTGTGACTCGTGGCTCACGACAGCTACACATGCACCCCCTTCGGTTCTTCGAGCTTTCTCTGACCCCTCTGTGGTTTCTGCAGCAGAACGGCTAATGCGGGGTGGAGACCCCCAGGAAGCCTACAAACGCCCCACGACTGTGAAGGGTTCCGCAGTGTTTTGCAGCGCTGCCCACGGCTGACTTCCTTCTCCTCTCTAGGCTAAGGATGGTTGCAGAGGACAGCGGAGGAAGAGACACGTCGCCTCGAACAGGTAAAAACAGAATCAGAAACCAAGACCCTCTGAAATCTCCAAATCTTCCCAACTCAAGTCTACATGGACGTCTTTCACTATTTTGATCCACATTAGTTATTTTTCAAAGAAATGATGACTGACGGATGATTGATGCTTCTAACTGCTTCCAGTTGCAGGGCTTGCACTGAGAATGATCAGCCCAGGCTTCTTTCCAAAGGCACAAAGGTCATGCTAACCAACCCCAAAAGGTCTTCCTTAAATTCCGAGAGGGCCCCAGGAAGCACTGTTGTAAATGCATCACACTCGAGCTTACAGCGGAGTCACACTTTACGGCGTGTGTGCACTTACTCAGCATTCGTCACCTTCGATTGGTCATGACACAGCGTCCACGTTTGCATGTATACACTTCCATCTATGGTCATCGGACAAAGACTTAGAGGACCCCCCAAAAAACTTCTAATCAATAATGGAGGTTTTCCACTCGTGGCATCGTGGCTTCTCAGGTTTATTGCTAGTGAAACCTTTAATGCTGGTTTTGCTACAGCAATATCTGTTTTGCGGGACCCTCTGGTAGCTTCTATTCTTGAAGGGGTACACTGCTGAGGACTCTGGGGCTGTGTGCTAGCTGGAATGCCGGGGGCCAGACTAAGGGACGTGGCTGGGAAGTTTAGGTCTGGACACTAAGATGTTCAGATCTGCACTAGGATCTGTGGCAGGTAAGATGGACATCCTGTAGTTAAATTTCATTCCACAGTGAAGAGACTGACATCAACGTCACTGGCTGTTTTCGGCCCTTAATCCCGCCTTTTGGAGGGTTGTGGTCCAGGCAGATCTTAAAAGAATGATTTATCACTGCAAAACAAGCTGGATTTCAGGACTCTATCTTTATTAAAAATAAGAATCCAGCAACTAGTTGTATCAATCAAGAAAATGAAACGGCTTTATAGTTAGATGACCAGAAATGTTAAGTCCTTTGCAAACAGCGCTGTCCACCACTTCGAGTCAACTGTGAGACTTCTCAGAAGGAGACGTATCCTAAGCAACAGATCTGTCACCTTCGGAGAGAGGGAAACATTTCTGAACCCTGTTCTTGGGACAGTGCCAGTTTTGAGCATGAAGTCATGTTTAATATGCCGGAACATATATACGCACGTAAATGAATGTCACGCTTCAAAGTAGTCACCTTTACTTATTCTGTTGACGGTCCACTTATTCTGTTTATAGAACCTATACAACTTTTTCTGGAGCTGAATTTTTTGGGCATTGCCTTTCGTATCATGAGAAAAAACAGGCCCAGTCACGGCATATAGTTTGCTTTTTAAAACATCTTTTTGATGTCACGTAAAATTCACATGCCACACAAGTCACCTATTTCACGTGTAATTTCACGGGAGCTATGAAACCATCACGACCACCTATGTTTATAACATTTTTGTCATCCCCAAAAGAAACCCCATACCCACTAGCGGTCACTTTCCTCATTTCCCCCCAAACCATCCCATCCCCTGGGCAGCCACCCATCTACTTTCCACCTGCGTAGATTTGCCTGCTCTGGACGTTTTCTATAAATGTGATCACATAAGCCCTGGCCTTTTGCAACTTGATTCTTTCACTCAGGATAAGGCACTCAGGGATCTTCTACGTTGTAGCATGTGTCAGTACTTCCTGCTTCGTTGTAGCCAAATCATGTTCCACATTCGCCACATTTTATTTATTAATTCATCAGTGGATGGAGAGCTGGGCTGTTTCGCTTCACGGCTGTTATGAATGATGTTGCTATGAATATGCAGCTCTTCATATTTTTTAATCCCAAAATGGTATTTAACAACGTGATCACTCAAATGATTCACAGCGCTGGGGTCTGAATGATTCTGACCTGTTTTCAAAAACTGAATTGGCGTTTACAAGGAGGAGAGTCGGCAAGAGCCGTGGCCCTTACGCCATTTTTAAAAGCTTTAAAACATGTTTTGTCCCCACAACCACTTTAAGGGTAAGAAATGCAGTGGCCATATAACCCTGGTCACCTTTCCAATGACAGTTTCCAGAGAATAGTTTTGATGCTTCATTGCAGAGAAAGCCTTGAATGAAATGACCATACACGGCTGGAATCATTTAGTATTTTC